GGCCTGGAAGCGGTGCCTGCCCTGGGATGCGGGCAGGACCCTTTGCTGCTTCTCCATCCTCCCACCTGGAAAACGGACTCTCGGGCCTGATTCACCTCCCTGGGCCGGGGGTGGGGGGGTGGGCGGGGGGAGGGGGGCGGCTGCCAGCTGCCAAAAGGGTGAGGGAGGACCCTGGGAAAAAGGGGCCGACGGGCTGGTGTCTTTCCCAAGTTGCCAATATCGGAAGGAAAGGGCAATCCGGGCGAGGATCGGAGCCGCAGGAAGAGTTTGCAGCCCGTCTCCTCCCGCCCCCTGTTGCAGTAACAAATCAGGAGGAAAGCCCGCACCGAGACGCATCTCCGGTCGGTGCCGAGGGAACCCAACGGGGTGTTTTACTGCATCGAATGAGGCCCGATGATGTCCGCGCGCACTAAACGGCGGTAACAGCTCCCGGGAGGGCGAGGCGGGCTTTCCGGGCTCCTCGAGGCCCCCCCCCCCCCCCCCAAGCTAATGTCTCCCGACCCAAAATGGGCTGAACCTGGGGGCTTTCGGGAAAGCGGCTGGGAGACCTTCTCTCTAAAGCACTGGCGGGAACAAGCGAAAAAACCCCAAGCCCTCAACAGTGAAGAGGCGCCCGGGCTGTGTGACTGAGGCCGGAGTGGCCTCCGGGGGTGAGCCAGGTGGCCCGGAGCGGGGACGCACTCCTGAGACCAGCCCAGGCCTCCAGCGCCTCCCGCAGAGCCGAGCCCAGGTCGCCTGCCACTCCGGCTACGTGTTCTCTGTCCACACCGGTGCCTCGTGCTCCTTGCTCCCTACCCCACTCCATTCCCCTTTCCTTTTCTTTTCTTAATTTGGGGACCGTGAAACAAGAAAAGGGCCGGGGAAACAAGCCCGGGGCCGGGCTGCTCTGGCTCACTATGAAGTCAGAGAAAGGGGGGGCCTGGGGGACAGGGTCAGGGCATTTGTCTGGGACGAACTGCCCCCACTGCTGCCCTGGTTGCAAGCCTGGTGGGGTCCCCTAGAGTTTAGGGGATGCACGCCTGTGGGGGATGGGGAGGGGGGGAGAGGCAGGGGCCTGCTCCTGGGAAGGAGATCCAGCCCCATTCCCCTCCCTCCTGCCCCTCCCCCTCTGCGGCGCTCCACCAACAAAGGGAAGGCTCTGGAGACGGGCAGCCAGTGCACAGCCTTTCGTGTCAGGGCAGCGGATGCGCCAGGAGACAATGCCAGGTTCCCAAGCAGGCAGAGCCCCTGGCTCCCAGCACGGGGGTCAGGGGACGCCGGCACATTAGCCGGGCGCGCCACACCGCCGCAGGAGCTGCTGGGCAGCCTCTCCGAGGCGGCGAGGCGGCCCAGAGGTCACCGGGGAGGCGCTGGCCGGCCCAGAGGTCACCGGGGAGCGCTGGCCGCTAGCTTTAATTGCGGGAGTCGCCTTTCACGCGCGCCGGCCCTCGCCCCGTGATTTATCACTTCCCCGGGTGTGTTAAGTGTTCTCCGCTCCGCCAGCTCTGCCTCTCCGAGGGAAGTCCGTGCAAATTGAAGAGGACGTTGGAGACTTTTATGTCTTCCTGACCCAGGGGAGGCCAGAGCTTCAGAGAAATGTCAAGGCTCCTCACTGCCGTTTGTCTGCCGGCGGGAACCACAGCTGGACCTTCGTGGCGCAAGCCACTGACGGATAAAACGGGCTTTCTCAGCGCTGCGCCCGTCCCCGTCCCCACCCCCCGTGATTTCTCTTCTGTCGGTTTCCTTTGAAATCCTGTGTCCCTCGGAGGCCACGGGCACCACAGCGATGATGAACCTGCGGGCGTGCGGGCCAGCTCCGGACTGGGGCGTGAGACGGGTCCCCTGCGAGGGGACGGAAGCAGGACCCTGCAGTGTGCACGCTCCGGGGCTGCATCTTCACCTCCACGGTGTGCTGCACGGCTGGCACGCTGGCCACCGCCCCCCTCCTCAGCTCGGGGGGGCGGGGGTGCTCTGAAGGCCAGAAGCTCAGGCCTGTGACACCCGTGTCCCCCTCACCCCGGCCTCACTGCGGACCTCACCGCCTCACCCCAAAGACTCAGATGCCAGGCATTCGTGTCGCTATCAACCGCCCCCCAACAACGCGTCGAGGTTCCCAGCCCAAGGACGGCTTAGGCTTGATCCCCGGGGCCACTGCTTCCGGTGCAAATGCCAAACCAGCTGCACTGACTATCAACTGGGGACCAGATGGAAATGCGTTTGGGACTTAGCGGGAGGGGGAAATACACCCTCGCCAACCCAACACGGAGAGCGGCCGGGGAAGCGAATTCTGGCTTTTAAGGGGTTTTGACCCCAAACACACGGAAATGAATACGACTGGTGGACGTGAGAGGCGCAGTCGTGTATGCAAAGGCGGCGAGGCCCTCCCCACAGGCTCGCGAGCAGGTCTGCTTCTTTACGTATTGTGAAGCCCGCGCTGAGCTCTCACGGTGAACGGAGTGCTTCCTGTGCGTGACCTCATATAACCCAGCCACTTGATTTACTCTTTTTTTTTTCTTTTTTCTTAATTTTAAATCCTTTTAAGAGAGGAAGGAGAGGGAGAGAGATAGAAACATCAATGATGAGAATTATTGATTGGCTGCCTCCTGCACGCTCCTCCCCGCCCCCAGCCCCCCACTGGGGACCGAGCCCACAGCCCAGGCATGTGTGCTGACTGGGAAATCAAACCGTGACCTCCTGGTGCAGAGGTCAATGGCTCAACCACTGAGCCACACCGGCCGGGCCGTTTTATTTACTCTTTATAGGCGAGGACACTGAGCCTTAAGGGAAAGTCAGAATTACAGAGACAGTAAGAGGCAGAGCAGTGGTCGCCTCGGTAAACCACACCTGACTGCCCCTCAGCATTCCCAAGGGAACAGGGTCACCCCAGGGGAGACCCTGGGGATTCGCTCGTGTTACCCAGCCCCCGAGGGTGCCCCTGAGTCGGGACCCACACCCAGAGCAACCCTGAGAGCGAAGAGGAGGAACACGCCTGGGTCGCGGCCGGCAGCGCCATTCCCTCCTGGTAGAAATCGATGATCAAAAAACATTAAAAACGCAACGAAGACCAACGCAGGCTGGCGGGAACCGAGACGAACGACATTTCAGGACAGTGGAGCCTCTGCCGCTCTCATCCCAGACTTCGTGGAGGGAGCTGTGCCCTGCGCCTCCCGGGCACCCCCACGCCCAAAGCCTGCGTGCGGCGTTCCTCTCTCAGGCCGCAGCGGGCACCCCCCGGAGCCACCCCCCCACGGACAGCTGCCTGGCCGTCAGTCCTGGCCCCGGGGACCGCCGGAGTCTAAAACACGGAAAGTACATCCGATGTCACAGGCAGCAAAACCACTACCACTACCGAATCCAGTGAGGCTGGGACAACTCACTCCATTTGTATTAAAAGCCAAGTCCATGCGAGCACGAACCCCGGACTCATCAGGATTCTTGATGGACTGGGCAGCCCGCTTTGAAAACAAGTTCACATTAAGACATTAAACAAAAAGAAAAAAGACTTCTGTATGCCCTAGCAGCAGTACAAATCTGACTACAAATCAAACCTCATTTGTCTACAATAATAGCTCGGCGAGAACTGACGGTCAAAGGCAGGCCCCTTGAAGACGTTCAACGCGCCGGATCGTTACGGGGAGAGGAGAGAGGAAATTGTATCAGGGTGGAACAGTGCGGGCCCGTGTCGGGGAATTCTGACAGCACCGGCTGACATGAAAAGGGATTTTTCTGCTTTGCCCCTGCGCTAGCCACGGTCCAGGAAACCAAAGGGGACCCTTCTGGGGTCCTCTGGGGGCCAGGGGGTCACTTGAGCCGAGGACCCACCTGGCCTGCCCGTTCCGGTGCTGGCCACCCCTGCTCAGAGCGTGCACTGCCCGGCGCTGGGGCGTCCCAATGCCCGCGTGAGGTGTGAGAGCTGGAGAAAAGAGGAGGCCGCTCAATAAAAGCGTCACATACGCGCCGGGGTTGATGCCATGGGTTCTTGGAACCACTGACAGCTCGCATCCATCTTATAATGAGATCCATCTGGGACTTGAATAGCTAACCCCTCTTGCTTGGAGAACAACCACAAATAGGGTCTATTTATGCCAGATCTCATTTTTTGGTAGAAAGCTTCCAGGAAGCTTATTTTCTTCTCGCGGCAGGAAGCTCGGCGAGGATTCCAAAGGACACGGCCCACGTGACCGCCAGAGGTCGGTGCCCTCCCTGGGTACCGCGGGGGATTAGGTGAGGGGCGGTGGCGGCGGGAGGATGCTGTTGAATAAATTCTCTCCGCCGCCTCGGCGCGTCTGGCAGAATTCACACCGTTGCAGAAGGAAAGCGGCGACCGTTCGGTTAATTCCCTCGACAGCCACTGACCGCCCAGCCACGGGGTGCCCGCCACGGCACCGTCCCAGGGAGAGCTCCCTGCGATCGCACCCGCCCGCCCGGAGGGGCGGAAGCGGAGATGGCCTTTAGAGCGCTGACAGACAGACGGCCCACCGGGACGGACTACCCATCAGGCCCCCGTGCCAGGCATTTGCTTTGCTGGACGAGAAAAACGAACGTGTCCGGAAAGGGGGAGGCTCGGAGGGAAAGGAGTGATGGGGTGGGGGGTGGGGGCAGCCCTCTCATCCCACGACCAGGTGAGACCACGGGTCTTCAGAGGCTGTCACCGCATGTACCCCGTCCCCATGCCAGCGTTACCATTCGAGAAGTACGCCACCAAGACACCAGACTCAGACAGACCTGACTGGACAAGAAGCGGGGACCTTCTCCAGACCGACAGTGACACAAGACGTAGAGGACGACCAGTCCTGCAGCCCCATCGACATGCTCTTCCGAACAGAGGCGGCCTCTGGGGCCCCCGGAGGCCGGGCTGGCCCCACGGGGGTGGCCGCCTGCTCTCGGACTCAAAGCATGCTGCGGCCGGCGCCCGGGGAGGGCTGGGCGCGGGCTGCGGACAGAGACAGGCAAGCTCATGCACGGGTTAGTATCACAGAGGGCAGGGCCGCCACCACACAGAGTACCTGCGAACTACCTACTTTGAGGGCTCAAATGCAGATAGGTCTTCTGCCTTGGGCTTGAGGCTAAACCAGCAAAATAAAATGAAGAAAAACAAAAACATAATAACCCTGTGATATCAACAATGCCACGCGTGCCGCCCGCAAAATGCTCAGACAGGGTGACACGGGTGACTTCACTGGTTTGCTTTCACGGCTTGGAAACGGGTCTCCCCAGCTTTCAGCGCTCCAGGTCCCCGTGGCCGAGGGCCCAGCTCCCCGCAGCCGCTGCAGAGCCGAGGCGGCTCCTGGCGCCCAGGTGAGCGAGTCGGGGGCGGGGAGGGGCTGGGAGGGGCCGGGGCAGCCCCTCCGAGGCCTGGTTGGCTCCCCGGCCCAGTCATTTTACGTCTCTGTGCACTGGCCGAGGCCTCACTTCAGCTCCCCGTTTGTTAAAACTGCTTGGCTTTGGAAGGGAAATGCAGTCAGTGACAGAAGCCAGCAGTAAGAAGAATGCGGACCGTGGGGAGGTCTTTCCTTGCGGGTTACGCTATGAAAAGGAATTCTCTCCCCGGTGCCAATGTGAACCGCAGTCAAAGAGAGAGAATCCGGGTCCCGACTGTGCCTGTCAGTGATCGTTTTCAGATACAGCTTAACCACTGAAAACTGGGATTCCTGAGATTGGGAGACCACCTTAAAGACTAACGGTAAAGAGTAAAAAACTTATCCAGCCCGGCTGGCATGGCTCAGTGGTTGAGTGTCGACCTATGAACCAGGAGGTCACAGTTCCATTCCCGGTCAGGGCACACGCCCGCCGGGTTGTGGGCTCGATCCCCAGTGTGGGGCGTGCAGGAGGCAGCTGGTCCATGATCCTCTCTCGTCACTGACGTTTCTATCTCTCTCTCCTTCTCCCTTTCTCTCTGAAATCAATAAAAATATATTTTTTGAAAACTAAATAGATCTGAACTATCATCGTCTCAACTCCATGAGCAGCCTTCTCCTACTGACACCTGTCCCCCAGGTGCTGAACCGACCCTGGGCTTCGGTTAGGACCAGACATCAGGGGCCCCGAGAGGACCTTTCTGCGTCGGCCCCACCTCAGAGACGTACACTCTTGGGCGGATATTTAGGATGCAAACCAACGTCCCCTAAAATGCTCCAAGCTCGGAATATCGGGGGAGAAAGATATGGCACTGTCAGCGACATAAATGAAGTTTCATCTCTTAAAACATGAAGGGTCTTCTAGATACTCCCCTGGAAGCATGAACAAAGTTAAAAATTCCGCATTTGGCTTCTAAATCAAGAACAGAACTTGAGAGCCCTCGCCACTTTAAAAACACACACACACAGCCGAAACCGGTTTGGCTCAGTGGATAGAGCGTCGGCCTGCGGACTGAAAGGTCCCAGGTTCAATTCCGGTCAAGGGCATGTACCTGGGTTGCGGGCACATCCCCAGTAGGAGATGTGCAGGAGGCAGCTGATCGATGTTTCTCTCTCATCGATGTTTCTAACTCTCTATCTCTCTCCCTTCCTCTCTGTAAGAAATCAATAAAATATATTTAAAAAAAAAAACACACACACACACACACACACACACACACACACGCACACGCACACGCACACGCACACACACACAGACTGGAGGGAGCGTCTATTCTCAACAGCCTCCTTCTCATTTTTGCTTTCTCATTAAATAAGGCAGCTCCCTGGGTAGAACTCCCCTCGGCTTAAAAGACAGACCTGCTTGACAGCTAAATGACGGATCCAACCCCGGCCCGTCACAGCGATTCATCTCATCGTGAAACGCTTGTGTTGAAAGGCTCCCCTTCCTCCCAGCCAGTGTCTGCGCAGTCATTGGCAGATTAAGATTCCCTCGTAGGCAGTAAGGACGTATTAAACATGACAGGAGCCTAATGACTCGGCTACGGAGGAAGCCAGACGCTGACCTCCCATCTCATTCACGACCACCCCGCCCGCTCGCTCGCTCGGCGGGCGACGGGAGAGCCGGTACCTTCTTGATGGTGTTGTGCTTGCTGCCGGTGCCGCCACCCCGGTCGGCGTTCTCGTTGTGCAGAATGTCCAGGGCCGTCTCCCTCTCTTTGAGCTTCAAGGCCTCGATCTCCGTCTTGAGTTCATTGAGCTGCTCCTGCAGGTGCTTGCTCTTCTCCATGTACTCCACCCTGCGGGGACAGGACGCCGCGCGTCACGGCCCGGGCGTAGCTAGGGGTTGAGCCGCTCCAGACCTACAAGCCGCTGGGCATGGGATCCGGGGTCTGCAGCCCCGGGGGCTGGGGCGGGGGAACTCATGTCTCTCCTGGGCCACTCACAGGCCACGGGAGCTGGGCCCAGTCACTGAACGGGCCTGAATCTGTTTCCTCGTCCGTAATATTGGGGTAGCGATCGCGGGGCTGTGGTCAGAATTCAATAAAAGGAAGTGTAGGAGCCCGGCCGGCGTGGCTCAGTGGTTGAGCGTCGACCTACGAACCGGGAGGTCACGGTTCGATTCCCGGGGTCAGGGCACGTGCCCCGGGGTGCGGGCTCCATCCCCAGTGTGGGGCACGCAGGAGGCAGCTGATCAACGATTCTCTCTTCTCGTTGATGTTTCTCTCTCTCCCGCTCCCTTCCTCTCTGAAATCGATAAAAATATTTTTAAAAAACCCCACAAAAACAACAATGGATGGTCGCAGATTTGAGCCGCCAGAGAA